CAGAACTAAAGAGTGGAGCTAGTCTAGAGACAGAGATGGAGTAAGTTAGAAGCCTATGTGGATAAACCCTGAATAAAAAATGATGCTTCTGATTAAAAAAAAAGTGTTCAGAGAAAGGATTACAGTCTAAAAAAGTAATCACTGGCCAGGACATACAATATAAGCATGAACTGAAAGCATTTGTATAATTACTGTCACTGCAAAAAGGGAGAGACAAAAGCTCTGTAGGTTTAATGTTTCTATACTAACAATGTATATTTAAATGTTGGTCTTGTTATCATAATTACAGCCATTTTGGTTTAAACTAACTCTGCACCTTCCACCTATTGAAGTAAGTCAACAAACATGATTCCTGTAATAGCAGAAAATAGCAGAACGTGCTCACTGCCTGTTCATATGCAAAAACAACCACTTATTATCTTATATATTAGTCAACAACGTTTTTTTTTTTGTTAGTTTTTTTTCAATGGTTTTGTTCCCTCCTTTTCATCTACCGTCCATTGTCTTGTCTGGCACATGTAAGGCTGTCATTGTAAATAAGAAGTTGTTCCTAATGTCTTACCCGAAGTGAAATATTGCAAGATTCTGTTCTAATACAGCCAAAGTGTCTTGAAAGCGTTTGATTGCTTTGTCGCAGTTGTAATCACTGCTTTGCTGCCCTGTATCTTTCTCCCAGCTATTTGTTTGCTCTTGGTCGAACACTGAAACAACAGTTTGAAATGGTTAATGTTAAATATAAGCTTATTTAGAAAGCTTTTAGAGGTTTGCCCACAATGCAACTAAACATTTGTTTTGTCAGCCTTCACTTTTATCAAATGTTTCCAACGAAGGTGAAATATAATGAAAAATGTGACCGGAGTTGATAAATAACTAACGTTTCCTTCAGAAATCCTGTTCACTAATACCCTGTTTGTCTCTTCTCCGCTCCTCCTCAGGGATGAACTCCATCTTTGTGTATGTTGGCCACTCTCTAATGGGTTTCTACTTCCCCTTCAGCTGGGAGATGCGCTTCCAGGAGAGCCACTGGGAGTTCCTCCTCCAGAGCCTGTGGGGAACTTCACTGTGGGTGCTCATCGCCTACCTGCTCTACAGGAAGAAATTCTTCCTCAAAATATAAGAAGAATAAAAGTCCCTTCTTTATCCCGCAGAGGCTATTTTCTTATTTTTCCAATCAAAAAGCAAACACTGCCCAGAAGGTATACAGATTATTGTAACATCTGGGGGAGTTTATAGGAACCTGGCCCCGGTTCTTGGCTTAATCACTTTAGTTGAGTTCTATGAAGTACAATCTGCCCACATGCACTGGACTGAACTGAACTCTAATATCTGATCGAGCATCTTCAAATCACTCAAAGTTTTTATCATCAACAAGCTGCAGCAAAGAGGAAAAAACTATGAAAATGTTGCATCTAATCCATTAAATCTAGTTTCTGTAGAAGATGTCTGACCTGCTGTCAGTGTGGGCAGCTGAGGATTTATTCGACGCCACTTGTTTTGTGCACAGAATAGACTGATTAAATCAAATATACTGAGGTGGTACTTAACAAATTAGGCCGAGTGATTCCACTACACACCAGGCCAACCATTATGAGTCTGTTGCCATGGCCACTCCTCTTTGTGTGTCTGTATGTGTGTGTGGGTACCATCTGCTGTCCGGGTGACAGTACTTTAATAGGGGTCAAGATGCACAGCTCACAAAGGACTGTCATTAATGGGACCGACACCTCTTGCACTCATTGTATTAGAAAATCAGGGAAATTACACAAATCCAATTCATCAGACGAGTCCCCTCAAAGAGCCCGAGCGCTTTACATCTTTTACATTTTGCATATTTAACACTAAAAGCTACTTACTTACTCGAAAAGGGTTCACTCTCTGCCTCAAACTATAATATTCTCACATGAGTGGCAGTCTAGTTGGGAGATTTATGCACATTTGTACTGTGTTTACATGACAGCACTGCACACCCTCAGATCGGTGTCCCTCCGCATCAAGTCAGGTGGTGTGTACATCATGAAATAACCATCTAGTTAATGAAATGAAACAGCATCATGCTCTTCTCCCAGAGTGAAATCCTATTACGCACTCCTCGGAAGCCGTAATAACGTTGCATAACATGGTGTAGTGGTTTTGGTAATTGTCTTATGAGGAGAAGTTGTTGTTTGAATCCCAGTAGGTGCATCCTTCCTTCTTGAACAAGACTCAAATCAGTAATTGCTTTTCCAAACTACTGTGCCAACAATGCAAATGCATAGCTGATTCATCATGAGATGAAAATAAAATCAATACAGGCTCACCACAGAGGTCTAAAGATATCGTTTGTATATTTGCAAGCAATGATAAAGCTTTATATTTAAATACAAGCATTTAGCTGACTCATGTAGAGGGACTTACAGTAAGTGCAACATCACGAGGACGTCAAAACCAATTAAATATTACAAATGGCTGTTGATGAAGATCAAAGGGGGTAAAATGAGAATTTCTACTGAAACCATACAAGTTCATAACTTGTTGTTGCTCTCGCATTCGTAGAACAGGCCCATAAAATCCTTGTGGTTGCACGTATCATGTCCTCACCACCACATTTCCTTGTCTGTATTGATTCTCGCTGAGCATACGTCTCAGGACACCTATAGTCTGTCATATGGAAACTTTATCCCAGATACAATGTGCTCATGCCGACTGCTCGGCTTCTTATATCACATAATGGTCCCCACATTGTTCTCCCTTGATACAGCAAAGCAGCCCTACATTAATCTGAAACATAAGTCAACATCTGAATCATCACATCCTTTAATATAAACATATTTTATTATGCAAAGTTGAAAGTTGAATCAATTTTACACAACATATTAGAAGAGCTAATCTGGCTATCATCAGACAGTCAGCATGTATTTTTCAGTTTCACAGCAGGACTCTGAGCCAGCTTGATTTAAGAGTTAAGTGTACAAGTAAAAAAGTACTTTTATTTTTTATCTGCTGTAACCTGCGGTCAAGACAAAACTGCAGCTGGTGCACTTTCTATTCTGCAGGAGACCGTAGATAAATGGCAACGTTTACTGTGTACTGGTCTGTTCTCTGTAGTCTCACCACTGGATTCACATTTAGATCAGCAGTTATACTTTGCTTCACTCTACTTTCTCGATTGGGCTTATTAGTAATTCCTCTTAACACACAATTCTTCATCCCCGTCGACACACAGGAGAGCAGATGATCAGACCAAAGACAGGAGGTGCAAGTAGAAGACTTTGTGATGTGTTTTTCTCCAGTTGGTGAAAGTTGGTGGAGCCTCTGAGAAGCCCTGCGATCTCCTCTGCAGCCCAGCGAGCCTCTGTGTTTTTGCTCCATGCAGAGACATTGATTGGAAAGCGACTGCTGTGTGAGTGACTGGTGTCTTGGCCCGAGGCTGCAGCAATGCATCACTCCACACTATCCAGTCACACAGAGATCCCACACTTTAACACAACCTTCAGCCTCAGACACACACTCAGACCTGAGAGGGGGAAAGATCCCACTGAGTTTGACCAGAGTCACACAGCAGCTGCTTTTTGTTGTGGGACTCGAAGTACGACTTCTGTGCAGATAAACTCTGTGTAAGTTTAATTAATCCATATGGTGTTTTGGGCTGCAGCTCAGCAGTGAAAAATCTGATTATTTAGCCAAAAACGTCCTGCTTTCTGCCCACTGGCAACTGACTGGAGCCTCCATGAGACAGATGTGAAATCCTGATCTTTTTTTTTTTTTTTTTTTAAGGATAAATAAATGATTACGTGTCTGTTAGAATGAGTCAGTGATTAAAAGGAGCACACCTGAGACCTCAGTAAAAAGTGTCTGTGCCTTTAAAATGAATCATCGCACATCTAATGATAATTGTTAATAATTTTCCCCCTGCAGAGCGTTAATGAGATGACTGACCTGCTGGTAAATTATGCTCTTAAATTTCCTGTAGATGCTGAGCTGCCTGCTGCTGCGGAAGCAGCGGGGCAGTGAGTGGTGAAGCAGTGAACCTCCTCCCCCTGAGCAGCCAGAGAGCCCAGCAGCAGCCAGTGGAGCCGCACACAGCAGTCCGTCCATGGGATACTGAGGACTCCATCAGGCTGCCCGGAGCCGCGGACGCAGGGACGCGCACTGGTTTACACACCGCTTCTGCTCATCCTGTCGCTTTGATTACTGTTTTTCCTCATATTTTCGTCCAGAGGAACTTTTTTCAATCGTGTTTTCATTCAGAAACTTTTACTTATGGTTCGCGAATATGGGGTCAAGTTGTGGTTTCTCTCGGGGAAACATCGTTGCGCTGCTGCTGCTGCTGCTGCTGGAAGGTAAGATCAGTTTTAGTGGTGAAGTCAAAGGAGGCAGTAAGAAACAATTATTATATGTTGCACGAAAATGTGTTTCCAAGTGCGCGCTTGATAAAGAGAGGGCTGTTTATGCGCACAACTGTCTGAAGTGTTATTCCAGAGGAGAGAATCTTAAATTGTGTTTGCTTTACGCGTCCTTTGCTTAGTGTTATGTGTTACTGTGACAGCATCACTTTTTGTTTTAAGCATCTTCTTCATTTCTCATCGTCCTTAAAAGCACATTAATTGTGTTATGGGCACAATTAAAGGTGTACTTTAAATTCATTTAAAAAAAAAAGAAAAGAAAAGAAAAATCTGATTATCTCCACATTTGACCATTAAGAAGAGAAATAAAAGAGAGAAAAAGGTTTCCACTGGAAAGGAAGTCTAGATTGCAACTAATTAGTACAAACGTGTGAAGCTGAATTTCTTTGCTAAATTGCAGCATTTTTGGAAGCTGGGTGATTTTACGGCTTTTCCAAGAAGTATCACAAATGGCACGTCCACAATGCCATCGCTGCTCCACACTGCAGAAAGTGATACTTGCATTGCACGCTGGTTGTTATGCATGGCATGGCACATTGAAACCTAGAGTCAAATGAATACAGCCATATATCATAATATTATAATCCCATTCACAATCCCACAGCCCAACTGTACCAACACCATCCCTCCGTGCAGTCTATATTTAAAGTGTCTCTCATAGCTCAGGAGTGTGCAAATCTCAGTGTGCAGCCAGTATGTCAGATGTGATGCTTGGACAAATATAGGACGTAGTGTGGAATTCCGGAATTTGTTTTTGTACTTAAAAGTGGTCTTAACAGAGGTTATTATCAGTGCTTTCATCAGGGGTGTGTGTGTGTAAGATTATCAGGACAGACTTTTAGTGGAATTGAGATGTGAGAAAAGGTGTTCATTTTCATGTCACTATTATTATTTCATGCCTACAAAAGTGGGGGCTTCTCATAAACTACAGGCCTACGTAATCACCCAAGGGAGCAGTTTTATGCAGAGTTGTTAAAATGATTAATGAAATTTTTTAGGTGCCACACTCGAACGTAATGTCCCCTGATTGTTTTTCACTGTGACAGACTCTGTAGTTTTCAGTGGGGCTGAGCGATGTAAATTCAAACATACGCAGCAGATATCAGCATCTCTACATTGTCCTACATGTGTTGCCCCCCTCCCCCCCCGAAGCAGACATTTGTCCTGATATTTATGGAGGAACAAGGTTGAAGTAGTTGGATTTCATATGTCAAGGATGTCCTGGTAATTAAATAGGTGCTGAAAGCTACACTCTACGTAAATGCAGCTTCCATCACCTGCCTGTTTGTTGCAACAAAAGACCCACACTTGTTCAGGGAGGAGAAGAGGCGAGCAGCAGGCAGGTGTTCAGCAGCTGCTCTTATCTCTCTGCAAACACTGCCTGTTTGTTTTCTTTAGGAAAATATCGTCTGTTGCACAAGCGCACACACCGTTCAGACGCTCCGACATTAACTTCCCTCAAAATGACACATCAGATTAATTTCGCTGGGCAGGGTCATGATTTAGTCTCACTTTGGAAGCTGCTCTGACTGTTGATGTCAGCAACGAGACAACGATTTTCTGCATCAAATGATTTTACAAATGTGCCAGTGCTCATATAGTCGTTATTTTGTGATTCAATTTTTATATAACACGACCTTCTAACGTGGATTTTCGTAGCCACGCAAGTCATTTAGTATTTGGTTGAGCCTAAAAATGGCTTTGTTGAAGTTACAGTGGTCCATGTTTGGTAATTTACATCATCACTGTTCCAGGTTCCAGGTTTCTGATTAGTTTGGTGTTTCTTGCTGAGGTCATCAAACAAAGCAAATTGGCAATCAGAGCTCAGAATAAGAGTAATCAGCATTTTAAAACGTGGCTGCAACATTGCGCTGCACTTAAGGCTGGAGTTGAATAGGAGAAGTAGGCCAGTTCAAAACAAAAATTTAAGTGAATCTGGAGCTGGAACACTTGTGTAGTTACAGACTGTGGAGTCAGTCAAATAGGAAAAAATCCCAGAAGTCCTTTGGTTAGCTTTGCTAAGAATTGAATTTTTGGTGTTTGGCCTTGGTGAGCATCTGTAGAGCTTTACTGAAATGATTCATTTGATTTAGATGACGGCTGCCTTATGATTAGCTTTAAGAACTGATACAGGCCTACAGTACAAGTTGGCAGCTTTGCAAGTATAAAAAGAACATGTGGAGCTCAAACTCAATAGAACCTTTTGTGACTAAACCTTTATCGAAATTAACCAATCCTCTTAACGGACACGGCCGTGTAATCCATCACTTCCACGAGAAGAACCACAGATGTTTTCACATGAAAGCATTGATCCGTTTATCTTCCACCGTGACCTTGCTACTGTATCTTTGACCCCGCCTCGCCCTCTGACCCGTGAAACCTTAACCAAGTGCTGATCCTCGGTGATGACCTCCCTGCATCCCAGAGGAAGCTGCCGACCTCTTTAGCTGCTCCTCCTTTCTTTAGAACAATCATTTTCATCAGCATCTTCTGCTTTGAGAAGGACCAGACCAATAAATCTCATTTGATACATGCTGCTATTTGATTTAGCTCCTCATTACATTATATAATTTAGTAAAGCTTCTGTCTTGTGTTGCCTATGGACGCATCATAAATCTTGTCAATTTTCCACTCTTGCTGTCACTACGTCTCTTTTAGTATAATTGGAAAACCATATGATGTGCGCAGAGTTTATCTTTTATATTAAATTTGCAGTGCTTCTCTTTGTATCTTAGTAGGAAAAACTTAATTTTTCAATGATTCTGTCGAAGCTGGTACTTGCAAAAAGAAATCTGATGACAGCATCCGTGTTTATGGAACACAGAGGATGGGGGTTTTGTGTGTTTAGTTTAGGTTTTTTTTCAGGTTCATGTACTTTACAAAAAAAAAAAAGGAGGCACACAGCACGGCACGCTATGTGATTAAACCACAAGTATCTGGCCTCAGCTGCCCTCTACTCATTTCACCCCAACAGTCAAAAAAGTCAGCGTGAACAGTAAACACTCTGTCTGCTGCTAATGCACAGACAGACAGACCGATGCAGCACTTTTGGCTGCTTTCAGATTTCCATTAACGGCCATTTTTATTCACAAAACTTAATCAAAGCGGAATCATCCTATTAGGTTCTGACCTGACGAGAGTCCAGACCTTTAGCTGTGAACTGTTGCGTTCTGCTGCCGCCGTTGCATGGACGCTGCTCGTACCTGTCAAAGCTCTGTGCCTGATCCTCTAGTCAGTTCAGGGTCACACTTCCCTCTCATGCATGGATAGAATCTAATTTGCTGTGGTGAAAGGACAAGGAGACATTGATTGAAATTTCGCCCTCGGGGCATTTAGTCCTCTCGTTTCACATGGGTCTTGACAAGTTATTTTCCAGTCGCCTAGCGGTGCACGCTGTGTTTGACCCATCATTTACAACAATGAACGAAGCAAAAGAGCTCATTTCAGTCCATGTGACGCTGCAGAATTTGCCAATGAAAATCTAATTGGCAAATTTATTGCGATTTCTCTAAACAAACCATTCTGCGAAATGTAGTTTTAAATGAAAACCTCATTTCTCATAAATTGGTTGCTCCTCATGTAGATTGCTGCTTGCCCCTCCTCCACCAGCCCCACCCTGGCATCCCTCTGTGTCCATTTGTTTCATCCTTCATTTTACTGAAACACGTAAACATGTTGGAAATCATTTTCCACCACCGTCCTGCCAGCGCCAGAAACTCTGAAAGCTTCGCTTCCATTTGTGCTGGAAGATCAGCGCCCTCCATTCCCTGCCACGAAGCAATGTGGCTCCCTTTGTTTCCATCCTGTAATCCTCCAGATTCACTGTGAAAACTGATGCTGTGACACAGTGTGACAAGTAGTCAGAGTTTAGTAGGTAATTCAGTTTGTATACGCATTAACTGAATTACAGACAGACTTGTAAATATAACTAATATGTGATTTGTATTCGATCTGTGGCTGTGTTTAGTCACATGAACAGGATTCCTCGAGGATAAGAGTTTTGTTTTGCTACGTCTGACCACGTTGGACCAGACGAAAAATATCTCAAAAACTATTTCATGGATTGCCATAAAATTGTGCACAGACGTTTATAGTCTCCACAAAATAAATATCCAAATGAAGTTACTGATGTCGTGTGTTTAACTGAGCACCATAGTCAAGATCTTACTTTGTCCAATAGCTGCCCGACTAATGACGTTCTCATCAGCCTGAACACTGTGTTTAGTGCTGGTTTGTTGCCATATCTGCCTGACAAATATTAATGCTGCTAAATATGAGGGTGTTTGCATGGACACTGTATCATGTCAGGGTTATTTCTTAATAGAATCATTTTAACCATTGCTAGAGGAAAATCAGCAGCACCAAAATGATGAGAACTGAAAATTTTATTGAATTAAATATTTTAATCAGTTTTGTTACTTGTAGTTTCATTTACTCGAGCATAATAGACATTTTATTTATCAAATGCTCCGAAATAACAGGAGAATTAGTAGATTTCTGTCAGATAGGGTAACAGTGACTCATTTCCTTTCCTGTACATGGATTAATCTTACTATCATTCTTAGTCACCACCAAATAACCATTCTGAGCCGGAAAATGTTGCATGTTTGTCAGTAACCCTGATGGTTGGTGAACCATTCCCAAAACACTGCTATTTGTCCATAAAGTCTCACAGAGCTGCTAGCAAGACTCGAGACACTTGTCTGCTGTGAAGTTGTTGCTTTTGGTGCTTGCAACATTATTTTCTTTAGTTTTTTTGAACACTGATCATTAAGTCCTTGATTCTCAAAAGTATTCATTTAAGCTGAAATCTTCATGAACTCTGTGGCTGGACCTATTTATAAAAACACAAATGATCGCATTGTATTTTGCCACAGGCACTTCCAGCCTTTGCCTCCTTCTGTGTACATGTCAGTGAATCTGATGGCTTTTTACCA